CCTGGAACTAGCTCTGTAGACCAAGCTGGTCTCGAACTCACAGTGATCTGCCTGCCTCTGCCTCCCGACTGCTGGGATTAAAGGAGTGTGCCACCATCGCCCAGCCACCAACTATCTTTTAAAGACTTACATTTTCAGCTTGTTTCCTGATTATTTGTTTTGTATTTTTCCCTCAGTTGAGTAACATTTGGGCTCAGGAATTCTTTAAGAACAAAGACAAAAAAAGAACAAAGACTAAGTTAGTTTCCAATACTATCAGTCCTTTATTTCTTCTGGGCCAAGGATGAGTTAAGATGAACTTAGATCAGCCTTTTATACCTTACTGTTATAAATGACATGTTCAGGAGGCTGAAAAGAAGGCTCAGCTCTTAGATCATTGGCGACTCATCCAGAGAATCTTTGATACTCAGCATCCATAAGACAGCTCACAACTGTCTGTACCTCCAGTCCCAGGAGAGTAGACACTGTCTTCTGGTCATCACTAGTACCTGAGATACACTTGCTACACTCACTGGTCAAATTCCTACATCTAGATTGAATTTCATTCCTTTTTAAGGTAACAGACACATGAAGAAAACCTATTTAAAATATAGAATCAAATACAGATCTATCTTTTCAGTATTTGTACATTTTGTACCCTAAGAGGCCAGAAGAATGCACCCATTTCCAGGACCTCCAATTACAGGGAGTTCTGTCCAATCAGATATGGTGCTATGAGTCAAACTTGGGTACCCAAGAGGAGCAGTACTCCTGAGACAACTCTCCAGGTCCCACATGTGTCATAATTCTTAAGGGAGAGTAGTCACACTGTTCCTTCTGTCTCTCATCACTTGAAGGATAAAGTCCACTCGAGATGGTTGTCAAAGATTCAATGGATGGAATGTGAATGAAATTTGTATATTGCTTCATATTTTCATTGTTAAGACAGTTCTCGTTAGGTGAGGGAATATTTAAAAGGTTGGTTGAAATCAGTCTGACTCCAGGCAGATTTTATTAGGAGAACTTCCATAATTTGGGAGTCTTTGTCTTTTGTGATCTTTTTGAGATAGGATATGTCCACATAGCCATTGATGCCAGGTATGCATTATGTGGAACAAGCTGGCGTCAAACTCACTGAGATTGGACCCACCCACACTCCTGTGTTCTGTGATTAGAGCCATGCACCTCTATGTTGAGCTGAAATGTTTGTAAAGGACTTATTGAGTAAAAAAAAAAAAAACATAATGAAAGACTTAAAAGGGAACATCATTGTATTGATAAATAACAATATTTCTTCAAATTGTATAATTTAAATGGCCAAATAATTTCATATGTTCAAAATGAGTCATTGTTATTGCATTGTCAATTCCATCCATTTAAAAATGTTTGAAGTGGTGCTGGAGAGATTGTTCAGTGGTTAAGAGCATTGCCTGCTCTTCCAAAGGTCCTGAGTTCAATTCCCAGCAACCACATGGTGGCTCACGACCATCTGTAAAGAGGTCTGGCGCCCTCTTCTGGCCTTCAGGCATACAGACAGAATATTGTATACATAATAAATAAATAAATATTTTAAAAAAAATATTTGAAGTGTGTTTTTGTGAATACACCTGCAACATGATGAGCATGTAGCACAGATAGGAAAATTAACAGGGGTCTATGATCTACTTCCACTTTGTGAGTTTTAGTCCTTAAACCTAGGGAGTCATTTGACTGCAAATACACTGAAAGACACTTCCTTTCGTTTAAAAATTGTTTGTGAATGAGATGATGTAGGAGTGTGTATAAAAACTGATGAAGTCAGCAAATATGAAAAAATTTGTAAGAGTATTAGGGTAAACAAGATATGGAAGCCAGGTTATCAGACTTAGAGGCAATGAACTTTAATAAATGATGCAACTTTTTGGCATGTAATTTTGGTTTTGAGAAAATATAAATACATGTCTTGTTCTCAGAGTGAAGAAATTAAAAAAATCTGTGCTGGTAAGAATATTTTCACATGCATAGCAGACTGACTATTCAAATTTTCCCATGGTCCTCTATTCTTGTATGAAATTGCATTTACAATTTGAAAAGAAAATAAGACTCAACTTCAATTAGAAGAATTTGAGCACCAATGAGATGACTCAGTGGGAAAGGACTCTTATGGGCAAGACTAGAATCCCAACCTCGATTACATCTTGAACTTTCCAGAAAAATGGATGGAGCTAGAAAACATCATTTTGAGTGAGGTGACCCAGACACAGAAGACAATTATCACATGTACTTAGTCATTAAGTGGGTTTTAATCATAAAGCAAAGAAAACCAGCCTACAAATCACAGCACCAGAGAACTTAGACAAGATGAGGACACTAAAGAGGCATACAAAGTTCTAATAAACATGCGAATTAGAAAAAGACAAGATCTCCAGAGTAAATTGGGAGGATTGGTCCTTGTGAGAGTATTGAAGGGAAGGGAGGAGGCAGGAGGGGAGCAGCAAAAAATGTAGAGCTCAATAAAGATCAAAAAAATTTAAAAGAAAAGAACATTAATTATGGTGTCAGATAAACAGTTGATTGCTGATTATACTACTTTATTACATCTATAAAACATGAATGAAAATACTTCTTTGAATACACATAAGGTATTTCATGTTTCTTATTATTTATTTTATCAGTCATTTTAATGTGAATATTGTCAAATTCTATTGAAAAACCACACACATTTGGAGTTTATCATCGACCCTTGGACTTGTATACAGGGGGCAGACATATGAGCACCATGAGTTCAAAATTAACTCTGAATTTTTATTGATATCCAAGCTAGGATTAATAACAAACAAAAGCTGAAGGGAATTCCTGAAAAGATAAAAATCTAATCCAGAAACAACCCAAAAGATTTACTCAAAAAGTATGTTCCCACATGGCCTGACACTTCAATAACCAATGGGAAACAAGTATGATGGGTTTACCATTCTATACATTATAGCAAAAAAATACCCATCACTTGGTAAAGGCACAATAAAAGATGAACAAAATCCATAGAAGTAATATAAAGACTACAAAATAGAATTCACTAAATGGATTTGCCACACAAATAGCTCACTTTAGTACATACTTCAAATATTTCAATGTAGAAACCACAATGCAATGATCTCCACCAGTCTTGATTAACCATGGTATGTAATTTACTTCCTTCAAGGTTATGATAAAAAATTTTTACTTAAAGCTAAAGAAAACTGTGAAAGAAATTAACCAATTGTTGTCATGAATTGAACTTTCTTTTTTCTAAGAGTGTGTTCCTATTTCCAGATTTCAAAAAGATATAAATAGACTAAAAATATATGAGGCACTAGAGTCATGCCTAGGTGAGAACTAATGTCAGATGTTTGACAGCTTCCAGTAATTTCTTCTGCAATAATATCCAAGGTATTATCTTTATGTGGATACAGAATGCACATTCAAATACACACAAGAGACACACACAAACATCACATAACTAAAATGAACACAACTTTTAAGACAGTTTTTCACTCATGAACACTTTCCTCCTGTAAACATTCATTCATTTCTGTAAAAGAGGAGCTGAGAATCATTGTACAGCTTACTTACACAATAAATTGGTTCATGTAAAGAAAAAGTGAACATTGACTTGAAGTAAAAGAAATTAATTCTTCTAAGAAAGTTTTCCAGGCTGGGCAGTGGTGGTGTACAGCTTTAATCCCAGCACTTGGGAGGCAGAGGCAGGTGGATCTATCTCTGTGAGTTAGAGACCAGCCTGGTCTACAAGAGCTAGTTCAAGGACAGGCCCCAAAGCTACAGAGAAACCCAGTCTCAAAAAACAGAAGAAAAAAAAAACAAAAACCAAAAAAAAGAAAGTTTCCCAGTAGAAATATCTGGTGCTGATCTCCTCCATTCCCAAGGGAATATTTCATAGTATATGTCCAATTCCTCTGTCATCTTCTGAACTAGTTCCCAAACAGAGGCATCAATTGTATATTGGCTCAACTCCAGGAGTTTCTGAAACATTCCAGTAAAAGAGGTATTCACATAAATCTTGAATCAGATTTATTTGAGAAGGAAGAAAACATGAGTATGAATACCTCTGCAAAGTGTGGAAGGGACAGCTGCATACTGAATGAGCATATGGCTCAAATAGGACTTCTTAATAACAGAGAGCAAAGGAGATTTTGATGGTGGGATTTTGCTGGATTTCAATCCCTGATCCTGAAAAAGCTCAGGGATGGCTTGATTTTATGCCGAGGGATTCGTTGCTTTTGTGCTCAGTTGGACAAGGATAGAGTTTGTTTTTATGGATCTGATTTGAGAGCCAAATAGTGTGTGTTTACTGGCCCCTTTTAATGCTGGGCTGTTTTCAGAGAGATGTTGTTTCTTTAACTACTTCTAGATTCAGAGACAAGGTACTTTCTTTTGGCTCTGGTTTCAGGACCAATGTATGTTTCTTTGAATACCCTTTCTCCAACCAATAATGCTTCATAAAATGTTTGTCCATTAGTTTGCTACTTCAAACTAAAATAATAAGAGGTATCATGATGCTTGAACAAATTTTTGACACTATAAAATTCTTTTCTATACAATAACTGTTTTTGTTTAAAGAATAATTTACAATAAGCCCTCAGTTTTTTCCTCAGGTCCAAAGATTATGGTAATATGCACCACAAACTTAATCAGATTGATTACACACAAAAAGTCTTACTCCTATATGAAGCACAAACATTCTGACACTGATTTTCAAAGAGTATCACTACAGTATGATTTTTCTCATGTTTTTAAAGAACACACATATTAAACTCAGAGTTTCTCTATAGGATGTCTTATTTTACATATTTGGAGATGATTGGGAAATAGGATTCAGGACAGATTCCATTCACATGTATCTATCCAGTATGTGTTCTTTTATGCAATTGAAGATGATTGTGACATGCAAAGTCCTTACCACATTGCTGGCATTCATAGGGTTTCTCTCCATTATGTGTTCTTTTATGATTTTGAAGAGCACAGTTGTGAGAAAAGACCTTACCTCATTAATTACATTCAAAGGGTTTCTCTCCAGTATGTGTTCTTTTATGCCTTTGAAGATGACTGTGACGTGCAAAGGCCTTACCACACTGATTACATTCATAGGGTTTCTCTCCAGTATGTGTTCTTTTATGCCTTTGAAGATGACGGTGACGTGCAAAGGCCTTACCACACTGATTACATTCATAGGGTTTCTCTCCAGTATGTGTTCTTTTATGCCTTTGAAGGTGACTGTGACGTGCAAAGGCCTTACCACACTGATTACATTCATAGGGTTCCTCTCCAGTATGTATTCTTTTATGTATTTCAAGAGTACCACGTTGAGCAAAGGCCTTACCACACTGATTACATTCATAGGGTTTCTCTCCAGTATGTGCTCTTTTATGGTATTGAAAGTAACTATGACGTGCAACGGCCTTACCACACTGATTACATTCATAGGGTTTCTCTCCAGTGTGTGTTCTTTTATGCTTTTGAAGAGTACTATTTTCAGCAAAGGCCTTAGCACACTGATTACATTCATAGGGTTTCTCTCCCGTATGTATTCTTTTATGCATTTGAAGATTACCACGTTGAGCAAAGGCCTTACCACACTGATTACATTCATAGGGTTTCTTTCCAGTATGTGCTCTTTTATGGTATTGAAGGTAACTATGACGTGAAAAGGCCTTACCACACTGATTACATTCATAGGGTTTCTCTCCCGTATGTATTCTTTTATGCATTTGAAGATTACCACGTTGAGCAAAGGCCTTACCACACTGATTACATCCATAGGGTTTCTCTCCAGTGTGTGCTCTTTTATGCTTTTGAAGAGTACTATTTTCAGCAAAGGCCTTACCACACTGATTACATGCATAGGGTTTCCCTCCAGTATGTCTTTTTTTATGCCTTTGAAGATGACTGTGTTGAGCAAATGCCTTACCACACTGATTCCATTCATAGGGTTTCTCTCCAGTGTGTGTTCTTTTATGCTTTTGAAGAGTACTCTTTTCAGCAAAGTCCTTACCACACTGATTACATGCATAGGGTTTCTCTCCAGTATGTGTTTTTTTATGCTTTTGAAGACTACCACGTTGAGCAAAGGCCTTACCACACTGATTACATTCATTGGGTTTTTCTCCAGTATGTGTTCTTTCATGCAATTGAAAACAATCCAGACATGCAAAGTATTTACCACACTGACTACATTCATAGGGTTTCTCTCCAGTATGTGTTCTTTTATGCCTTTGAAGATGACTGTGATCAGCAAACGCCTTACCAAGCAGATTAAATTCATTTGATTTTTCTTTATTTTGTGTTCTTTTATGACTGTGATGAGTTTCATAAAGAACTAAGTCTCTATCATCTTGACTATATTCATAGGGTTTCTCTCCAGTGTGTGTTCTTTCATGCATTTGATGATGACTGTGATAATCAAAGGCTTTACCACATTGCTTAATTTCACAGCATTTTTCTCTGGTATGTGTTTTTTCATTCCTTAGAAGGTGAGTGTCATAAGACAAGGCTTTATCACAGTGAGAACATCCTGAAAATTTCTCTCCAATTTGATGTTTTAATCCTGCAAGGATAATTTACATATGTCAAAGCTTTACCACATTCAATACACTGTTGAACCTCAGATCTGTATGAATTAATTTCATAATTTGTTCCAATTGTAAAAATGAATCAAATATTAATGTCTTATAACTTCATTTAAAATCATGTTTTCTTCTTTCATTAGGGGTCATTTTGCATCTGGAAAAATATTTGTGATGATCAATTCTTTTGTGTCACGGTTTACCATTTCATCTATACCTATCCCTATATTTTTCTATGATATTTTTCATGTTTTTGAAAAGAACTGCATACACTGAGTGCCTTACAAACTTTACTGCATTCATAAATTTTACTATGAATCCTTATACATTGGCTAAATGAACAAAGACACCAAGAAGTATAGGCAGACTTAGAACTCATGGGGCTTTTTTGTAATGTGAAGTTGTTTATGTATTAACAATGATGGTAGAAAACCAATTACTGTATACTTGGACTTAACTGAACAAGTATATTCTCCATGGGAAGTACAGTTTATCTTCTAATTGTTCTTAATGAGACGTATGCTACATCTTTCCATATCCATATTCTCATATGCTTGTATCAAGAGGAACATATGATATACATAGTAAAGGAAGAATAGTAAATAAAAGATTTCCACATTGAATCCTCATGGTTTCACTTTCTGTTCCTCATAGACTTGTGGTATAGATATTAAGGTTTCTCCACAACAACTGCCCCTTGACCCTTGACTCTAATTGCCACTTTCACTAAACTTAGCAAGTTACCAAAAGTCTAAGAGTAATCCAAGTCTTACCATAGGCTATTGATTTAGGAGAAAGTTTGCAGCTACACTCATCACTGAAGTGTGTATACAGTTATTGTCATAAGTAGCAAGAAAGAAATGGACTGACAGATCTACTACATAGCTCTCACGTTGCTATGATTCAAATGGTGATTTCTGTTTAGTCATTGCTTCCTTGACTTTTTCTTTTTTCTTTTGTTTATTTTATTTTTTAGTTATTGCAAAAAATTTCCACCTCCTTCCCATTTCTCATTACCCTCCCCATCCTCACACACAGTGTCCCATTCCCTCACTTCTGTAACCCTTTCCCCTCCCCCAACTCCATTCCCCCTCTCTCTCAAGACTGAAGAGCAGTCCAGATTCTCTGCCCGCTCCGATGTCCAAGGTTCTCACACTTCTATCCAGGACCAGGAAGGTGAGCATCCAAACAGCATCCCACAAAGCCAGTTCATGTATTAGGATCGAAACCTAGTGCCATTTTCCTTGGCTTCTCATCAGCCTTCTTTCTCTACCAGTTTCAGAAAGTACGGTTTCATTCCATGCTTTTCAGTCCCAGTCCCGCTGGCCACAGTGAGCTCCCAATAGATCAGTTCCACTATCATAGTGGGTGGGTGCATCCCTCATTGTCCTGACTTCCTTGCTCATGTTCTCCCTCCTTCTGCTCTTCATTTGGATCTAATTTTTTAATTGAAAAAAAAAAATTCTGCCTTCTTCCCGCCTCCCATTTCCCTCCTCCTCATCCCACTCTTCTTCCCCTCCCCCCACTGCTCTACCTTCCTTCTCCAGACAGAAGAGCAGTCAGGGTTCCTGCCCTGTGGAAAGTCCAAAGTGCTCCTCCCCCCCCCATCCTAACCTAGGAAGGTGAACATCCAACCTGGCTAGGATCCCACAATGCCAGAACATGAAGTAGGATCATTGACAGTGTCATTGTTCTTGGTTTCCCAGCACCCATCTTTGTCCGCCAGATTCAGAGAGTCCGGTTTTATCCCATGCTTTTTCAGTCACATTCCAGCTGGCCTTGGGATCTTAAGCTAAGTCAAGTGCTCCAATTTGGGTCTCTGTCTATATCTCGATCCATCGCCAGATGAAGGCTCTAAGGTGATATGAAAGATTTTCATCAGTATGGCTATAGGATAGGGTCATTTCAGGTTCCCTCTCCTCAGTTGCTAAAGGTACTATCTGGGGACATCTTCCAGGACACCTGCGAGCCCCACTAGAGACAAGTCTCTTGCCAACTCTAAGATGGCTCCCTTAATTAGGATATAAATTTCTCTGCTACTGTGCCCACCCTTCCTATATCCCAAACATCCCATTTTCCCATGATGCTCCCATTCTCCCCTTCTCACATTTCTCACCCCATTTCCCCATAGCCAAAAGCCACCTCACCCCCGAGATCCCAGGTTTTGCCCTGCAATCTTGTCTACTTCCCATATCCAGGCAGATGACTATATGTCTTTTTTTGGGGGGGGGTTTCACGTTTTTATTTAGCTTCTCTAGAATCATCAATTATATGCTCAATGTCCTTAATTTATGGCTAGAGACCAATTAGGAGTGAGTACATCCCATGCTCATCTTTTTCAGTCAGGGATACCTCACTTAGGATAGTGTTCTCTATTACCATCCATTCTCAGGCAAAATTCGCGAAGTCATTTTTTTTTTAACCGCTGAATAGTATATGTATATACTCCACACTTTCATCATCCATTCTTCCATTGAATGGCATCTAGGTTGTTTCCAGGTTCTGGCTATTACAAATAATGCTGCTATGAACATAATTGAAGAAATGCTTTTGGGCTGGAGAGATGGCTCAGTGGTTAAGAGCATTGCCTGCTCTTCCAGAGGTCCTGAGTTCAATTCCTGGCAACCACATGGTGGCTCACAACCATCTGTTAAGAGGTCTGGTGCCCTCTTCTTCTGGCCTGCAGACATACACACAGACAAAATATTGTATACATAATAATAAATAAAATAAAAGAAAGTGTACGCCACCACTGCCTGGATCAGAAGTTGTTTTTTTTAAAAAAAAAAAAAAGAAATGCTTTTGACATATGATATGGCATCTCTTGGGTATATTCCCAAGTGTGGTATTACTGGATCTTGGGGTAGGTTGATCCCAAATTTCCTGAGAAATCACGGCACAGATTTCTAAAGTGGTTGCACAAGTTTGCCTTCCCACCAACAATGAATGAGTGTGCCCCTTACTCCACAACCTCTCCAGCAAAGTCTATCATTGTCTTTTAGATTTTAGCCATTCTGACTGGTGTAAGGTGATATCTCTAATTTGTTGTAATTTGCATTTCCCAGATCACCATGGAGGACGAGCATGACCTTAAGTGTCTTTTGGTCATTTGAACTTCTTTTGTTTTGAATTCTCCTTTCAGTTCAGTGCCCTAATTTTGAATTGTATTTATTAGCATTTTAATATTCAGTTTCTTTATATATTTTGGATATCAGATATTTGTCTGTTGCCATTTGGTGAAGATCTTCTCCCAGTCAGTGGGTTGCCTTCTTGTCTTAGTGACAGTGTCCTTTGCTTAACCGAAGCCTCTCAGTTTCAGGAGGTTCCATTTATTCAATATTGTCCTTAATGTCTGTGCTGCTGGGGATATGCCTAGGAAGTGATCTCCTGTGCCCATATGTGGTAGAGTACTTCCCACTTTCTCTTCTATCAGGTTCAGTGTGTTCAGCCTGATATTGAGGTCTTTAATCCATTCTCACTTGATTTTTGTCCATGGCGATAGATATAGATCTATTTTCATTTTTCTACAGGTTGACGACCAGATCTGCCAGCACCACTTGTTGAAGATGCTTTCTTCCTTCCATTGAATAATTTTAGCTCCTTTATCAAATATCAGATGTTCATACATTTGTGGGATAAAATCCAGCTCTTCTACTCTATTCCATTGATCAACTTCTCTGTTTTTTTTCTCAGTCTTTTTTTTTATTGAGAAAAGGCGAAAAAAAAAAAACAAGTTTCCACCTCCTCCCAGCCTCCCATTTCCCTCCCCCTCCTCCCCCCCTACACCCCCTCCTCCCCCCTTCTCCCCCTCCCCCCCCCCCACTCCTTTCCCCCTCCCTCTCCAATCCAAAGAGCAGTCAGGGTTTTCTGCCCTGTGGTAAGACCTAGGACCTCCCACCTCCGACCATATCTAGGAAGGTGAACATCTAAACTGGCTGGGCTCCCACAAAGCCATCACATTACGTAGGACCCGTGCCATTGTCCTTTGCGTCTCATCAGCCCTCATAGTTCGCCATGTTCAGAGAGTCCAGTTTTATCCCATGCTTTTTCAGTCACAGTCCAGCTGGTCTTGGTGAGCTCTCAATAGATCAGCTCCACTGTCTCAGTGGGTGGGTGCATCCCTCGTGGTCCCGACTTCTTTGCTCATGTTCTCCCTCCTTCTGCTCCTCATTGGGACTTTGGGAGCTCAGTCCAGTGCTCCAGTGTGGGTCTCTGTCTCTATCTCCATCCATCACCAGATGAAGGTTCTATGATGATATGCAAGATATTCGTCAGTATTGCTCAAGGATAGGGTCATTTCAGGTTCCCTATTCTCAACTGCCCAAGGAACTAACTGGGGACCTCAGCTTGGGCACCTGGGAGCCCCTCTAGGGTCAGGTCTCTTGCCAACCCTAAAGTGGTTCCCTTAACTAAGAATTGTGGTTCCGTGCTCCCCTGTCCAACCTTCCTTTATCCCAATCCTCCTGCTATCCCAAGGCCCGACCTCCTTCCCTTCTAACTTTTCTCTCCCCATCTCCCCTTACCCCCAAACCACCCCACCCCAAGATCCCAATTTTCTCCCCGGCAATTTTGTCTACTTCCCTTAGCCAAGAGGATAACTATATGTTTTTCCTTGGGTTCCCCTTCTTACTTAGCTTCTTTAGATTCACCTATTGTAGACTCCGTGACCCTTATTTATGGCTAGAAACCAATTATGAGTGAGTACATCCCATGTTCATCTTTTTGGGTCTGGGATACCTCACTCAGGATAGTGTTTTCTATTTCCATCCATTTGCATGCAAAATTCGAGAAGTCATTGTTTTTTACTGCTGAGTAGTACTCTAATGTGTAGATATTCCATACTTTCTTCATCCATTCTTCCATTGAAGGGCATCTAGGTTGTTTCCAGGTTCTGGCTAT